ACTAAATTTACTGTAGATTTAGTCGACTAAAATCGTATGATATTTAGTCGACTAAAACTAGACTAAAACTAAAAACAATTCAGGTGACTAAAATATGACTAAAACTAAATGGTATTTTAGTCAAAAGACTATGACTAAAACTAAATCAAAATTTGTTGTCAAAATTAACACTGGTCACCACATAGATCAGTAGGAAGGTGAAAGGCTGAGGTGCCCAAATAAAGTCATGGTATGACTGCATATTATCCCTTACATGTCTATCTGGTTTGAACTTGTTCATTCGCTTGGCTAAAAGTCGCTTGCTAAGAACTGTTTTTCTTTGCTGAAGCTTTGCGTCTAATGAGCTAATAAAATATTTCAACTCAAAACAACATTTTGTGTCTAATTATTTACTTATTAGTCAAGTGTCAGTGTAATCTGGGTGTCTTTGGTTTGAGTCTTCAGCCTATATGGGACGTCACCATAAAACATGGAAAAGAGTGTGCGTGTGTGAATCTCTACAATTGTGTGCGAGAGTGAAACAGTAATATGACAAGTTTAGAAGATGCGTATCGCCATGTCGCCGTTTCGTAACGGGTGATGGCAGACATGATTTGTGTTATCTGTTTAGCAGCAGAGCACCTTCGGTCAGCTCTCGAGGGAGCTGGCTGCCCTCGCTGTGATTGCTTCACGTTGGGGAAGCTCTGCTCCCGCTTGGCTCTTTTTCGAGGGATGGGAGCCAGGTGTCTGTGCCTCGCGGTTCAGGTCCAATGGCTGCTGAGGCAGCTACTCCGATCGTGAGTGTCACAGGAGTTTGAGATGGTTAGGTCCCTTTCTCAAACTCTCAGATTCACTTGCTGGTTCTGATGCTCTCAGGGCAGAACTGGAAGTCCGCTTTATGATCTTTTCTGATCTGGCTGAGATCATGCTATTGGCCCGATCTAGCTTGGAAGAGTTAGATGTGATGGGAGTTGAGTTGAATGTATCCAGTGAGTGCGCCTCCTCCCTCACCCCTCACCGCACTCCAGGGAGACTCGATGAGCGATTCCTAGTGGATCATAAACAGCACAGGGGATTGTGTGAGCACAAGTATGAGAAGATGCCCTGAACTGAAGAGAGATATCTCTCCCCTGGCATGGTGTCTTCTATGAAGGCTCTGGTCTTACCCTCAAAGCCGTGCCAAACTACATTGCAGCTGGTGGAGCCCTGAACTGAACATGATGGTGTTGCAGGCGTACCAAGTCCTGAGGGACCTCAACCCAGGTGAGGGACTCTCTCCAGAGGCAGTCCTGGAGCTCCACCGAGCCACAGATCTTGTCTTCTGTCTCACCAAGCATATGGCCCATGCTGAGGACACCTTGCTGTCCTGTAGCCTCTTCCAGTTCTTACTGAATACTGTATGTAGTGGAGCAGTAGTCTGCCCTTTCCAGATTGGAGGTTGTTGGCAGAGGCAGCTGAACCTGCAGCCTCCCTAGTCAACTCTGACTTTAGGGGCTCTAGCCTTTAGACTTGGTCTTAGGACCAGTCTGTTGTGGGCAGTTTTGGGGGTAACGCGTTACAAGTAACATGAGTTACTTTTTCAAATAAGTAACACCAGTTGCTTTGTTTCCTCATGTACTGACTGACGGCTCTCCTGTCCTCATGATGAGAGAATCAGGAGTGAGTGCAGATGTGTTGTGTGCGCTGTGTGAACATGATGTTACTGTAGTTCTAGACCAGGGGTGTCCAAACTACGGCAGGGGTGTCCAAACTACGGTTCGTTCCTGTGGCGGCCCGCGAGGGATTTTAAAAATAATACGAAACGAAAATCCTTTATAGTGAAAAATAGATCAAATTCACTAAATAACCATCAGGTGTCGCTATCACATGCAGCCAATGCAGTTAGTCAGACGTAGGCCTACGTTTATGAAGGGGCTAAAAAACAACAAATTATTGTTCATCACATTTTGCTAAGTCATGGCGCAACAAAGTAAAAGGAAAATCGAAAGTGAATGCAGGAGCTTTCAGACACGGTGGGGAAATGAATATTTTTTCACGGAGGTGAGCGGGAAAAGTGTCTGTTTAATTTGCCAAATTTGGCCAATCACAACGCACTGGATAGCTGGCCAATCACAGCACACCTCGCTTTTTCAGACCGATGAGCTTTGTAAAAATCGACGCGTTTCAGAAAGGCGGGGCATACAGGAGAAACAATAATGTACAGTATGTGGAAAATAATGTGTTTTTTTAACCTTAAACCGCATAAACACATTTCATTACACCAAATACACAAAATACTGTTCTTTTTAGCAGCAGCATCTGACCCCTTTAATTTAATAAATCAATTAATCAGATGAATCATAGTTAAATCACATAGTAAAATTTTTAGAAAATGCCCCAAATAAAGATAATTATAAGACAATAATTTATTATGGCAGACAAAAGCATCAAATATATATTACAAATATTTGCTTTCGCCATCAAGTCAACATATTATTTATTTTATTTCATATTATTGAACATAAGCCTATCACTGGCATATAGTCCACAGCAATCCATTTTGCATCAATTTGTCAATCTGTCTGAATTAGACGTAGGGGAATTCACAAATGATTAAATTGTGTTGTTTTTGTATATAATTATTTGTGTTTTTTTAATATAATTAATCTCACTAAAAGAAGGTGTTCATTTGACGGTGTTAATTTGAATGTGTATTACAAAACTGAATGTGTATTTGAACTGAAAAAAGCCATTATACTAACATAGTCTGCTTCTAATGTCAGCCTGATGCCAGCAACCAAATGCAAATATTGGCCAATATTGATATACAGTCATTGATATACAGTATAGATAGATTTACATGAGATCAGGGGCACTGACACAAGGAAGCACTGAAGATAGACAACGAACATCAAGAGATGCTGACAGATGTCTGACACAGCAACTTTTCGAGGCTCATGACATAAGTGACAGTGATGTGACTCTAGAGCAGGGGTGTCCAAACTACGGCCCGCGATCGTTCCTGTGGCAGCCCGCGAGGGATTTAAAAAATAATACAAATCTGGCCCTTTATAGTGAAAAATAGATCAAATTCACTAAATAACCATCAGGTGACGCTATCACATGCAGCCAATGCAGTTAGTCAGACGTAGGCCTACATTTATGAAGGGGCTAAAAAAACAACAAATTATTGTTTATCACATTTTGCTAAGTCATGGCGCAACAAAGTAAAAGGAAAATCGAAAGTGAATGCAGGAGATTTCAGACACGTTGGGGAAATGAATATTTTTTCACGGAGGTGAGCGGGAAATGTGTCTGTTTAATTTGCCAGGAGTCCATTGGGGTGATGAAGGAATATAATGTTAAAAGACATTACGAAACAAAACATCAGTCTTTCAAATCGTACACTGGTGCTGAGCGCGATCAAAAGGTGAAACAATTGGCAGCTGCCTTGTTAGCTCAACAACAACAATTTTTTCGTGCTAATAAAGCACAGGAAAATTCTACATTAGCTAGTTATGAGGTAGCTCACCTAATAGCGCGGCACGGAAAACCCTTCACTGAAGGCGAACTTATAAAGGAGTGTCTGATGAAAGTTGCCACAATAATTTGCCCAGAAAAGATGCAAGATTTTAAAAATATCAGTCTTTCAAGAAACACAGTCGGACGGAGAATTGAAGACTTGTCGGCAAATCTAAAAGAACAAGTGACAGACAAAGTTCCCACGTTTGATTTTTACTCAATTGCGTGCGATGACAGCACTGATTCCACAGATACTGCACAGCTGTTAATTTTTTTGCGAGGTGTGGACAGTGATTTTTGCATTTCAGAAGAGCTACTTGAAATGAAGAGCCTTAAGAGTACAACAACGGGAAAAGATCTTTTTGAAGCCGTATCATGTGCGATTGAAAACATGAATCTCCCTTGGGCCAAGCTCTGTGGCATTACAACCGATGGAGCACCAGCCATGCTCGGCGAGCGGAATGGAATGGCTTCCATGGTATGCAACAAAGTTTGCGAAAGTGGAGGTGAGGCTGTGAAAATGCACTGTATCATACACCAGGAAGCGCTCTGTGCCAAAGCCATCCAGATGGATGACGTGATGACCACTGTGGTAAAAACTATAAACTTGATTCGTTCAAGAGCGCTCAACCACAGAGAATTCCGGGCATTTCTGTCTGATATTGATGCAGAATACGGTGACGTAATATATCACTCTAACGTGCGATGGCTGAGTCGCGGCTCTGCTCTACGGCGGTTCTATTCGCTGCGGTCTGAAATTGACCAGTTTTTGAAAGAAAAAAATCTGACACTTGATCAACTCAATGACCCTGACTGGCTGGCAGACCTTGCTTTTTTAGTTGATTTGACCAGTTACCTGAACGCACTGAATAAAAGCCTGCAAGGCAAGGACCAGCTGATATCGGAAATGTATGCGCACTTGAAATCCTTTGCTGTGAAGCTAAGACTTTTTGAGAGACAAATCAGTGACCGCAATGCTGTGCACTTTCCTAGTTTGTCCGAAATCATCTCGAGTTTTTCAGACTCCAACATCCCTGGAAAAATGGATAAATATTCGACAGTGCTCACATCCTTAATCACAGAATTTAATCAGCGTTTTCAAGACTTTTCCGCTATTGATAGCGACATCAAACTGTTCTCAACCCCTTTCTCTGTTAATGTAGAAGAAGTACAAGAGAATGTGCAGCTGGAACTCATAGAACTTCAGTGCAATGATTCTCTTCGCAGCCGCCACCAGCTTCTTCCCCTGTCCGAGTTTTACAAGAGTTTGGAAACATCCAGATTCCCCTTAATCAAACGTCATGCACAAAGGATGATGAGTCTGTTTGGCTCCACGTACATATGTGAGCAAACATTTTTGCTGATGACGCTGAACAAGAGTCCACTGAGAGCCAGGCTGACTGACAGCCATCTCTGTGATCTGCTTCGTATCTCTACTACACGACTTACTCCTGACTTGACATCAATTCTGAAATCCAAGGCACAACATCACTCTTCACATTAATAAGTTAATAATGGTGAGTAAAAAAATATTGAAAGCAATACATTGTAATGATTCTTAGGTTAAAAAATTATATAATATCATGGGGCATATAAAAATATATATTTAGCGCACACATAACATTTTTAGACAATAGCATATTTAACATATAAGCAGACAAAGACAAATTAATGGCAATAATCAATTAGCTTGTCTAATAGTAGTTTTTTTTTTTTTTACAGCCATGCGGCCCAAGACGACACACATTTTTTTGCACCTGGCCCCCTGTGAAAAAAGTTTGGACACCCCTGTTCTAGACTAAATGAGAACATGCATTTACTCATCTCACCTGCACAAAATCATATTCAGTATTCCTCAAAATGAATAAAAACTGTGAAATGCAAACTCAGAATGTGACGCAAACCTGCAATAATTAAATATGTTAAAGAACACAAATATCCTTTATGTATTTAATTCCTTTTTATTAACCAGTGTCTTTGCTGCTGCTGACCTTCGATGATCCAATTCAGCCATACGAATAAGCAAAAATGACATTTGTTTCCTTTTTTTTTTTTTTAAAGAAAAGAACATTGGCATTTCTACCTTTATTCTGACAGGACAGTAGTAATAACAGGAAGCGAAGTGGAAGAGAGATGGGGGCAGGATCAGGAAAGGTCCACAAGCCGGAATTTGAACTTGTGACGTCCGTAGCATATTGGCGCCGACATGCTGCTTTGGTTGCGTCCCATTGCAATCCAAAATGGCAGCACAGCAGAAAGGTTTGTTTGAGCTGTTTGAATTTACATTTCCTTCAGCCTAAAACTCATTCATTTCACTTTTGGTGAGAAAGAGATTTTACATTTGCCAAAAATACAACTCTTTT